GTCCTTTGGCCCTCTGGACCCTTCGATTGGAGATGGCCTAAGAGTCAGAGGGCAAGAGTGGAGCCTTATCATTCCAAACCTCATCAATGTACTGAAGCGCAATGAGGGATTCATAGACCGGTTTCCATTGTGAATGAGAACCGGGTTCATCTACATTAACAGTGGGCTCTTGTTCCACAAGTCCTCATCTTTGTACTCATACTCGATGCCCTTCTTAGCCAGAGCAATCCTTAGCCTCATCCCAAATAGGCTTGGCTAGAAATCCAACAACACCACCTCATTCGCCATTGAAGGGTTTGAAAAACCCTTACTTCTAATTTATTTCGATTCTTTGACTCACAAATTTCACATAACAAAAATTGCGTAATTCATGAAACATATATATATATATATATATTGACAAATATATGAAACATATACAATATATATATATATATCGAAAGGTAAATATAATTGTAGGGGGTTCATGCATCATGGTGAATGTTTTCATGCTTCATGGTCGTTTCAAATATTTTCCTTTGTTTTAAGCGTACCTGATTGGCATAAAACAACAGAAGCCTTTAAATTTGTAAAACATCATTCTCGGAAAGCTGGAATTGCATCTCCAATGTGTTGTATCACGTTTAACAAATAAAAAATTTAATTGAATTAATAGCATGTATGTCAATTCAATAAAATAATAACTTAAAGAATGATCAAAACGTAATACTCCTCCGAATGAAGAATAAACTCTCTTTAGCACAGCGTCAAGAGCGTGATGATAACGTATTGTAGGCATAATTTACTGAACAATTATGAAGGTCATATAGAGAGGGGGTGCGACACATAGAGAGAGAAGATAGAGATGTGTAATTGTGAAGTGTGTGTTATATCACCCTCATTGTGCCTTTATTTATAGTAGTTGTGAAGGTAAATTCCTTACCCCAATAGGATTACAACTCTAATAAGATAATATCTAGTCTAAGAGATATGGTAAAATCACATAAAGATATCCTATATATGTTAGGATTTACACAATCAAATTCCTAATCTAATAGAACTGCAACACTATTAATATATAAGAGTTTTCACCCCTAATATTACGAGTCCTTTTCGGATAAAACCCAACACCTAGCCATAGGTGGTTAAGTTGGGACAATATCAGTGATATTGGTGATTGACCATTCTTAGGCCTATAAAGTTTCACAAAAAGCTCCAAAATATTAGATGAAAATAAAATTGAAACATTAAACAATAAACTACAACTTTTTATTCATAATTTTTGTACAAACAACAATTCATGTAACCCTTTTTTCATCATTTTTTAGCAAGATTACTAATCCCTTACAATTGAGAAAAGTCATTTCTTCAACGCATAGAATGAATATAAATACCAAGTTGATCTTGAAGTGCCGACATGTGTGTGAAGAGGATCCTCTTCGAATCCACTTTGTGGGGATCATAGGGATCTTTACATCCTAGTCATTCATCGTACACCGTGCGGCTAGTTTTCGTCAGGTATTATTTATGTTTAATTTTAAATAAAAAAAAGTCAAATTATTTTTGACTCCATGACGCACGATGAATGGATAAGATGTGCAGATCCCTAGAATCCCCACAATTTGGATTTGGATGAGATCTAAATCCGGGGATTAAGGAACTAATTTGCGTGGGGTGGACTTTCTTTGAAAGTCAAAACTCTTTTTTTTTTATTTTTTATTAAAAATGGTGAGGCTTTCAGCCTCCCACGTGACCTAGAATGAGTTTTCAAACACCACATCGATGCTCACCTTTTTATTTAAGAGCAATGCTAGGAAAACTAAATTTTTAGACAAAATTTATAAACTAAATGACATGAAAGTTAATGATTGGATTATTACTTAAGTGTTGATAAATGTGCTCATTTCCTATTAGTGACACATCATTTAGTTTGTAAATTTTTTTTGCAAATTTAGCCTTCCTAGCATTACTCTTTACTTAAATGATTAATGTGACTTAGTAGCACGTGACCTAGGATACTGTTTAAAAAAGAATTGGTCTTCTTCTTCTACCCATATGGTTTGCAAAAAGCCAGAACATTATGTAGTTGCTGCTCTTTCACTTCACTACCCAGACTTGGGTGGTCCTCGGAAGTTCTCATAGCCAATTATCCGAGCATCTGGGTGCTCCTGAAGCGTACGACCAGTCAAGAGTAGGTACCTTATCAAAAAATTTTGTCAGGTTAGCAAAAACTCAGTTGGAAAACTACTCTTAATCATAAGAAAAAAGTATGTTAAGATCATTTAAGTATACCATAAGACACTCTCCTGAGTTCGATAAAACTCCCCAAGAGAACTATCGGTGACATAAATTTAAAAGTGTATGTAGTATAGTTTCATGAACAAGCTTTTGAAAAGTAGATTTCGTATTGACTTCATGAAGAGATCAACATAATTGTCTTAGGATCGGATTTGCTAAACTTTGGTCTCCTAATGCTTTTGTTGCCGATGAGTGAAGAAAAACTTCGTGACAGTATACTTTGTAATGTCGCCTTTGGTGGATCATTTCTTTAATTGGTCGATACATGCATCGTTGTCTTCATAAATCATTGTTGGAACATCAACGTTGTAAGAAAAACCACATAAAGTTTTAATGTGATTAATCACACACCTCAGCCAAAATCATTCATGTGATACTTCGCACAAGCTAAAATCTTAGTGTGATTTAAAGACGTAGCAACTAAGTCCTGTTTGGTTGATATGCACAATATTGCAATATCTCTAATGATAAAGACATAAACCGTCTGTTTTAGAAACGTGCCTTGTATGGTTTACATAACCATTGTCAGCATAACTTAGAAGGCTTTTCACTTAAGAGTTGTTGTCCATTTTTTAGTTGTGTAAGAAAGAGATGGAATTTCACTAATTGGTAGCTCAAAGAAAGTCTCGTCCCGACCTGGGGTTGGCTTGAGTCAGAGGAGGGTTCAGCTCCATTCATTTTTTTTTTTTTTTAATTGATTGCAGTCTTGTTTGAACCTGTTCCAGCAACTACCAACTAATCTCTTCAATGTTCGATTTAACTTTATGTTAGAACATTTTTATGAATGCTATTCTGATCTAAATGGTCTTATTCTATGTCCCATGCTAGGAAGCATTACTCCTCTTTTCATTCTACGACTGATACAAAGTTGAAAAAGCTGCTTTATGGATATACACCTAGGAAAGGTCAAAAGCTGAAGGAAGTCAAATTTTATTCCTCGGTATTTTTGTCATCAATTACTTTTACCTAGGGTTTAAGGTTTAGAATTTAGGGTTCATCCATCATTTCACTGTACCTTTAAGGTAATTGCAGGATGACTTGGACACATGTCTGGTGTTTATGTGTATGCGCATTGTAGTACCTTGCTAAAATTCACAACAAAAGATATGCCAGCTCTAATGTACAAGTAAAATACAACGGTTGATTTCACTTGAGTAATTGATCTCGCTTAGGATGAAATCAATCTCGTTTTGCATCCAAGGTTAAGATGACCATGGAAGTACTCAAAAGCTTTGTTTTATATTAAAACGGTACAACACTTGTGATATCCAAACTAAAAACCAAAAGAAACAATCACCAGTATAAAATTTGAAAATATAACCTTGTTCACAAGTTAAAACAAACAGTTGAAATTATAACCTTGAAAATAAACAAAAAACAGCAGGTAGGAATTTCGACCACTATAGGGCCGTCCCAATTAAGCAACTTCGAGCATTCGCCAGAGTCTCTTGGAGTAAGCAAACAAGATGTCTTCAATGTCGCCTTTGCTGGACTGTCAACTTGAGCATTACTTCTCCCATGCAAAATTTGCATCTCTAACCTTCTTCTTTGCCTGATACTCCTCTGCAATCTTCGTAGGACACACGAGCTCAGCAGCTGGTTCCCAATAGCAGTAGCAGATGTGAAGATCGAAAGTATATTTGTCAATTCTATGCGCAAGTGTTAAAGTTCTAGACTTTTAAGAGCAAGAGAATCACGCCATGAACGGTCATCTTCTTCGTATTCGTGGAAAAAAAAATTAAATAGACCTTCTCCCAGAGACACTCACTGGAAATAAAATGTAAACTTTTATGAAGATTTATTATAATACTCAGAACAAGAACCCATACATGACAATTGACACACCATATCACTCATCTCACATACAGAGAAACTCGGAAATACACACAAGCAGAACTTAACAACACACCAAAACAGAGCTCAAAAGTAACCGATCGAGGTTATGCGAATTTAGTTTAGCCGGAGATGTCAATGGGCTTGACCACAGGCTTCTTCTCCTCCTCTTTCGGCACAGTCACAGTCAGCACCCCATTCTCCATCGCCGCCTTCACCTGATCAAGTTTCGCGTTCTCCGGCAGCCTGAACCTCCTCATAAACTTGCCACTGCTCCTCTCCACCCTGTGCCACTTGTCGTTCTTCTCCTCCTGCTCTCGGCTCCTCTCGCCGCGGATCTGCAGGATCCTCCCGTCCTCCACCTCCACTTTCACCTCCTCCTTTTTTATCCCCGGGAGGTCCGCCTTGAAGATGTGGGCCTCCGGGGTCTCCTTCCAATCGATGCGGGTGTTGGCGATGGCGGTGGTTTCACGGGCGGAGGAGGGGATGTTGGCCAGAGCGCCAAAGCCCTCGAATGGGTCCCAGATGTCCAGAGAGAAGGGGTCGAAGACGTTGCTTCGTCGTCCGCCAAAGAGACTGAGAGCCATTAGATGGTGGGTTTGAGTTGGGTTTTTGCTGGGCGTGAATTCGAAGGATTTGCGAGAGATTTTTGCTTAGATTGCTTTGGATGATTCTCTCTGATGAGGTGGGTTGTAGAGTGAGCTGTATATATATACAGGATGGCACAGAAGGTTTCTCTGAGAACTACAGAAAGTTCTGCAGCTATCCAGAAGGGACAAAAACAATAAAAACAGATAGTTCCATCAGCTTCCACCAACTTCTTGAAAGTGCCCTTTTTTTGGGTTAGTTCCTTTTCGGCCCAAAACATAGTTGGTACTTATGAGCCCCTTTTTTTTTAATTTTTTTTTCCTTTCTTATAAAATTAAGCATGATGATAAATTGAACATAGATTTTTTTTTTTTTTTTTTTAAAAAAGAGCATATTTAAGGAAAAAAAAATATTAAACTTAATTATGTTGTAAAACTGCCACTTAGTACTACAGTCTGGTGGTATTCCTCTTCACTTGTAAAGGAGAGGTCTTAGGTTCGATTCTTGTCAAAGACGAATTTGAACTAAATTATTACTAGCTCATTGTGAGGCTAAGCCTACCTTCTTCTTTTTAGGGTAGATAACATTTTTTGTTGAAAAAAAAAAAAAAACAACAGCAACAACAAATAAGTAAATTAATGAGTAAAAATCACCTTCTTGTTGACAAAGTCAGCCCAGAACCTGGCCTGGGCTATGAGGTACGGCCATCTCCAATCGAAGGCTGGCCAAAGGGCTCGTTTTTGCCCTTTGGCCCTCCAAGAAATTAATATTTTAATGAACAGTGTTGGACCATGGCCATAGGGCCAAACATAATTTATTATTTTAATTGAACTACTATGGTTACTTAAATTAAATTACCTCAATAATTTTATGTTATGGATTGCTAATCATTTTCACGTTGTTAAATGTTTTTAAAAATGTTGTTTAAGTTTCATGTTGTTAAATTTTTTTTATGTTGTTTAATGTAACTTAATGTTATTTAATGTTGTTTAATGACTTAGGAAGTTAAGGAAAAAAAAAAAATTTAAATTTTGTAAAAAAAAAATTGTAAAAAAAAAAAAAAAAAAAAATCAAATATGACATAAGCTTGTGGTCCGACTCGAGGCTAGCTACTTTGGGCCAGCCAATTGGCCATTTGGGCCTTTTTTGTACAGTGGGCCCACAAGCCCTTTGCCCTGACCCTCGATTGGAGACGATTTTTGAGCTACTTTTTGGCCCTCTGGCCCTCTAAACCCTTCCGTTGGAGATGGCTTAAGAGTCAGAAAGCAAGAGTGGAGCCTTATCATTCCAAACCTCATCAGTGTACTGAAGCGCAATGAGGGACTCATAGACCGATTTTCCATTGTGAGTGAGAACCGGGATCTTCTTGTGAACCGGGTTCATCTGCAGCAACAGTGGGCTCTTGCTCCACAAGTCCTCATCTTTGTACTCATAGTCGATGCCTTTCTCAGCCAGAGCAATCCTTAGCCTCATCCCAAATGGGCTTGGCCAGAAATCCAACAACACCATCTCATCCGCCATTGAAGGGTTTGAAAAACCCTTGCCTCTAATTTATTTCGATTCTTTGACTCACAAATTTCACATAGCAAAAATTGCATAATGCATGAAACGTGTATATATATATATATATATATATATTGACAAATATATGAAACATATACAATATATATATCGGAACGTAAATATAATTGTAGGGGGTTCATGCATCATGGAGAATGTTTTCATGCTTAATGGTCGTTTCAAATATCTTCCTTTATTGTAAGCGTACCTGATTGGCATAAAACAACAAAAACATTTAAATTTGTAGAGCATCCTTCTCGAAAAGCCGGAATTGCATCTCCAATGCATTGTATCACGTTCAATAAATAAAAAATTAAATGGAATCAATAGCATGTAGGTCAATTCATTAAAATAATAAATTAAAGAATGATTAAAACGTAATACTCCCCTGAATGAAGAATAAACTCTCTTTAGGGCAGCGTTAAGAGTGTGGTGATAACGTATTGTAGGCATAATTTACTGAACAATTATGAAGGCCAAAGAGAGAAGGGGTGTGGCACATAGAGAGAGAAGATAGAGATGTGTAATTGAGAGGTGTGTGTTATATCACCCCATAGTGCCTTTATTTATAGTAGTAATGAAGGTAAATTCCTAACCCCAATAGGATTACAACTCTAATAAGATAATATCTAGTCTAAGAGATATGGTAGAATCACATAAGGATATTCTATATATGTTAGGATTTACACAATCAAATTCCTAATCTAATAGAACTGCAACACTATTAATATATAAGAGTTTTCACCCCTAAATATTACCAATCCTTTTGGAATAAAACCCAACACCTAGCCATAGGTGGTTAAGTTGGGACCATATCGGTAATATTGGTGATGGACCATGCTTAGGCCTATAAAGTTTCACAAAAAGCTCCAAAAAATTAGATGAAAATAAAATTGAAACATTAAACGATAAACTACAAATTTTTATTCATAATTTTTGTACAAATAATAATTCATGTAACCCTTTTTCATCATATTTTAGCAAGATTACTAATCCCTTACAATTGAGAAAAGTCATTTCTTCAATGCATAGAATGAATATAAATACCAAGTTGATCTCGAAGTATCGATAGGTGTGTGAAGACTAGATAAGAGATTGGTTTTATGCTGATGATGGTGGCCTTCAGTTGAGCGGGGTAGGAATTGTGGAATGAATATAAATAAACTACAACTTTTTGTTCATAATTTTTGGACAAACAACAATTCATGTAACCTTTTTTTCATCATTTTTTAGCAAGATTACTAATCCCTTACAATTGAGAAAAGTCATTTCTTCAACACATCGAATGAATATAAATACCAAGTTGATCTTGAAGTGTCAATAGGTGTGTGAAGATTGGATAAGAGATTGGTTCTGTACTGATGATGGTGGCCTTCAGTTGAGCAGGGTAGGAATTGGGGATTAGGGAAGAGGATCCTCTTTGGATCCACTTTGTGGGGATCATAGGGATCCCTACATCGTAGTTGTTCATCGTACATCATGCGGCCAGTTTTCGTTAGGTACTATTTGTGTTTAATTTTAAATAAAAAAGTCAAATTATTTCTGACTGCACAATGTACGATGAATGGTTAAGATGTGCGAATCCCTAGAATCTCCACAATTTGGATCTGGATGGGATCTAAATTCAGGGGTTAGGGAACTAATTGGCATGGGGTGGACCTTCTTTGAAAGTTGAAGACTTTTTTTATTTTTTAGTAAAAAAATGGTGAGGCTCTCAGCTTCCCATGTGACCTAGAATGAGTTTTCAAACACCACATCGATGCTCACCGTTTTATTTAAGAGTAATGCTAAGAAAACTAAATTTTTAGACAAAATTTATAAACTAAATGACATGAAAGTTAATGATTTGATTATTACTTAGGTGTTGATAAATGTGCTCGTTTCTTATTGGTGACACGTCATTTAGTTTGTAAATTTTTTTTGCAAATTTAGTCTCCTTAGCATTACTTTTTACTTAAATGATTAATGTGACTTAGTAGCACGTGACCTAGGATACCGTTTTAAAAAGAATTGGTCTTCTTCTTATTCTATCTATCTAGCTTGCAAAAAGCAAGAACATTATGCAGCTGCTGCTCTTTCCCTTCATTGCCCAGACTCGGGTAGTCCTCAGAAGTTCTCATAGCCAATTATCCGAGCATCCGGGTGGTCCTAAAACCACCTAGGTCCCTTAATAAATCCGGCCCCAGATGGAAAGGAATTTTGGTGATGGCAAGTACAAGTAAGGGTAGCTACTAGTGCATGGGGATGTTGGTATGGGTGAATGCTTAGGTTGCTGGCGCACGGGATTGGGTGGATCGGGGTGGGTGGGGACACAGTGGCTGCTAGTTTCTTTGTTTTTGGGTTTTAGTTTTTTAGTTTTATTAAAAAATTAATGAGGTGAAGGTTGGGTGAAATGGGTGGTACACGTGTTGAGAAATTAGAGAGGAGACACCACAATTAGGGACAACAGACCTGTGACCATGAGAGAGGAAGGAGACGGCAGAAGAGAAGGGCTCATGTGTATAAGAACGGCGTGTTCACCCCTAGCATGTGACTTTTTAATACTAATTATGATGGGTTTTCTTGCTTTATAAGTAATACAAAGCCTATAATTATTTGATCCCCAAATCCTTGTGGAATTCTACTTTAACTTTACGCAATCACATTTCTAATTAATGATTCTATTCACTACACTCCTACTTAAGTATGTACAACTTAAGAAGTAGCTGCATCAATTCTTCGTGGTTAGGTGATGCGATTGTTGTTGTCAGCTATTGGTAAAAACCTTGCTTTGATAACCAGTAGACTTACAGAGAAAAATTGAGTTAATATATGATATCGATATTTCACATATTCAAAATGATTATTAAAACACACAAGCGCATGACCAGTCAAGAGTAGGTACTTTATCAAAAAATTTTGTTAGGTTAGCAAAAATTCAGTTGGAAAACTACTCTTGATCATAAGAAAAAAAATATGTTAAGATCGTGTAAGTATACTATAAGACACTCTCCTGAGTTCGATAAAACTCCCCAAGAGAACTATCAGTGACATAAATTTAAAAGTTTATGTAGTCTAATTTCATGAACAAGCTTTTGAAAAGTAGATTTTGTATTGACTTCATGAAGAGATCAACATAATTGTCTTAGGATCAGATTTGCTAAACTTTGATCTCCTAATGCTCTTGTTGCCGATGAGTGAAGAAAAACTTTGTGATGGTATACTTTGTAATGTCGCCTTTGGTGGATCATTTCTTTAATTGATCGATACATGCATCGTTGTCTTCATAAATCGTTGTTGGAACATCAACGATGTAAGAAAAACCACATAAAATTTTAATGTGATCAATCACACGCCAAAACTTTTTCGCAATGAATTCATCATAAGCCTCCCTGCTTCTGTTGTCTGACCAAGGCACTGCACCAAAACTTGGACTGCAAAAACCCTGGTTGATATCTGCAACCCATCCCAGATGCTGAAAAAAAAGAGAACAAGCTTTGGAGATGACTCCCCAAGAAGCCTTAATGTCTCAGCTGGAAAGAATTTCTCTCTGTCATGTGATGTATGCAGATTATCCCTTATAATCAATTCTGGACCTTCCAAGCTCAATCTCCTTAACCCCTAGTAACAACAGCAATGAGGAAAGTTGTTGAGTCTCTTAGCTATCACAATACCATCCACCATTGCTTTTCCTTTATCCCATAAGGAGGATGACTCAATAGACATTATACCATCAGGTTCAACCTTGTCAATAGTATCAGCAATTTCCATGGCATCAGGGAACTTAATAGCTGTAGCAATTTCTTTTGCAGAGAACTTCACAACAAAGTGACCCCTTGTTTGCTTTGTGTAATTCACCCTCTTGTTTTGCTGCTGATTTACTAATGATTTCCTCTCTATGGCACTAGCAGCAGCACCATGCTGATGAATATGTGGCTCAAATAAGCCCGCATTCTCAAATAAACGGGAAATGTCCATTGTATATATAGTATTAGAGTGGAACCACACAGCAGAGTCTTTGCCATCACAATGTTTTCCTGAATTGTTGTGATTGTTGGCAACTCGAGAAGTGACTTCCAAGAAATAAAGGGTACGTGCAATCAGTGACTTCTTCGGATTATGGCGAGGCATTAGACAAAGTGGCATCATCACAATATTGTTTCATCTCTGCCAACCATAACAACTCCTTGAAAAGCATTCCATGAATTAATAGAAATAAGATTGAAGCAATTGTCGTTCCATCCTTCTTCAAAGGGAGATTGACCTCAATCTTTAAATTCAGAATACTTGTTAGATGGTTGGCAATCATGGAAAAGATTTTCTTGAAGTAAGGGATCTGTGCATTCATGGAGATGATTATGCCTTTTATCCTATCATGGATAGCCTAATTCGTCATAAAAAGTGCAGCCTATGAATAAAAAAGAATACACACCATTTTTAGTTGAAGTTCAACAGGACTAAGAAATTCCATTGGTGCTTTTGCAAAAGAAGTAATTCCTATAGCTTTCATCTCGGAGACCAACTGAAAAAGCGAGTCATTTGAAACCCCACGAAATAAGGAGCACATATCCCTTCTTTCTTATATTTCTCAGCAACTTCACGATATGTTGATTTGAAAACATCAGAAGACTCACCAGTTAACTTTAGAAACAACATACTCTTCTTATTTGGATTGTTAAAGAATTCAACCCCATCATCATCCGACATTGAATCTACCACATTAAGCACCGTATCGAGTTTCCCCGCATTGCCGACATCAATAAAGGAGCTCCGATCACCCGGAAATATTAAAAACACTTTCACATGTAGTAGTAGCTTCCTCATATTGCATCACTTGTAGTAAACAAGTAAAATGCATTGGACGATTAATGAAGTGTAGCTGTGGGATAAAAAATTAACGGTACTTGTCACCATGGTTCTCGTGGTGCTTGGAATAGAGCATCACCCCTAGAATTTTAACTAATTCCCCTCCCGGATCCCATCCATTCCAGAATTCACCTATAGTTATGCAGAATTGAGAGCATACAACCATGTTATGAAAAAGAGGGGTCATTCGATCGAAAAGGATTCCCGCAGCGTCCTCGCTTTGTCTCTTAGCTATTTCATCAAACACTTTCTCTGCATTCAAAACCATCACAAACCTACCAACCTTATACATGTCGACCCAACCATTTATCTCATTCAAATAAGCATCATTCATGACCACCTTTCCATTAGTATAACACACAAGGAAACTATTGAAAAGCCAATGTCACATGGCCTTTCAATTTTTAAAATTGAAAATCAAAGATCTCAATACCTCATGTCTACGTTTGGTGGTGTTTGTATTCGTTGACGGCTGCTTGCAGAGGCGAATAATCTGTAATTTGATGCTTCAGTGGTATCCATAGCCCTTAATGTTGATGGTATCATTGGCGTCATGTCGTAACCATTGAAGGGGGCTTGATGCTTTGGCTCCTTCATTACTGAGAGTAAAACCCAGACCTTGCACACTTGTTGGAGCTTCCTGGTTGCTCAAAAATGGTTTTCTATTATTGGTGTGGGTTGCTAGTGAAGCGTTCGAGTTCGATTGTGGCTTGACAGACGGAGTTGTGATTGCTCACAACAATGGTGATGAAGAAAACAAAGGCGGAACGGAATGGACTGTGATTGGCGATGGAATTCTCGGTTGTTTGCCACCTCCTTGAAGGCTGGGATGACCGAGATCATGCGATTCTCTGTGTTCGGAAAACATTGGGGCTGGATTTGATTCTCCCCCGTCGCTGATAGCGGACATAGGGGTTGGAGTGGAGTCTCTCGCAGCATTGAGAGCCAATTCACAGCAGACCTTCGCAAGGAAGGGTACGAATACAGCATCCACGGCTTCGCGAATCGAAGCTTTGCCCACAGCATCCATGACAGAAAGACGGATTGGGTGGGCGTGCACAGGAGGGAAACCAGGAGTCAAGAAAGATGATAACATTGATAAGATCCAATTCTCAATTCCCTCAATCAACCTGCAAGTAACACAGAGGATAGAGAAGGAGAGGGAAGGAAGAGAGAGAGAAAGCGGAGCTCTTGAATTGTTTTTGTTTATATTTCTTGTGTGTAAATTCTGATCTGCCACAATTGAGGGAGCACAGTTCATTTTATAGACTTTACACCTTTACTGCCAAGTGGCATTTCTAACCGACTTCACTAAATATCAGGAATAAGCCTAATAATCTCAAGAATTAAACCCTTAATAGTGATTAAGCTAATCACTAATTACAGATCATATCAAGTAGGTTCGTCTCTGTCTCTGTCTCTCTCTCATCTTTTTTTTTTTCAATGCGCGGTCGGATTTCGTTTGCATGAATGCTTCTCCGACATATTTGTTTCGGGTTTGGTTGTGGGTTCTCTTTTCTTTGTTCAAATTTTTGTGATTTGAATTTTAAAAATCTGGGTTATCTTTGTTCAATGGTTTGGTCCATCTTTAGTTTTTTCACCAGAGATCTCTGCCAGCACTACTCCTCTCTCAGACCAGGTACGATCATCAAAAACTGTTTTCCGTTTTTCATCTGGGTTTTCTGAACTGCAGGAAGTTTGTTTCCATTTTTCTTGCGCTGGCTTCAAACCACTCTCAGCACTTTCTATTCCATCCCCCGAGTAAGATTAGTTAAACCCTCTATGCTACCATACCGCGTTTCGAATCTGAATCCAATAAAAATATCTCTCTAAAATTTCAAATTTTTTTTTTTGTCTCAGATTTTAACTTTCCTCAGTCCCCTGGTGTTCATTATTTGAATAATTTTTTGATAAATTATTGATATTTCGTTGACTAGAATTGATTGAAGCTCTTCGTTTGGATGCAGCCATCACATTACGTCCCATTGCTCCGGGTTGTGGAATTTGAACTGTTTTGAACCAAATCATGTATTTTTTCTTTTATGGAGAGAACTGTTAATTTGAATTTGGTGGTTCATTTAAGAGGCACTTTTTTCTTAATTGCTTGCAATGGTGTTAGGGATTTGCTGCATATTTGCGTTTTTAAATGTATTTGTTATGGTTGTAGTTTCTCTACGTTTCGTAATGGGAATAGGTATTCTAAAGCTATTAGATACATATTATTCGAGGAGATTGTTGATAATTTTAATTTATGATACCTCATGTCATAGTTTTTTTTTTTTCATCGCTTCTAATATAGCTTAGTTACTAAACACATATACTGACCATCCTCCTTTTCGCATTTCCTTGGTTTCTTGCGTTTGGATTTTTCTGTTTGTATATTCCAATTTTTTAGGATCCACATTGCTTCCGATTTGCATCTCAGTTATATATATATGTGTGTGTGTGTGTCTGTAAAAAGAAAATGTACATAAAGGCAATAAAGAGGGGCCAAAGGAGGATTTTTAGATGCAAAACAAGGTCCTGAAGATGGGAAGGACTCCAGCAATTTAGCCTTTCAAGCTTGCCAACAAATTGAAGGAGTTCTCTCTCTTTCTCTCTCTCTCTTTCTCTTATGACATAAAGCATGAACTACAATCCTTAAACGTACTTTTAGAGACTTTATTAAAGCAAAGATAAATTGAACAAACTAACTGGGTACATCCGTGTGAACTGATGTGGCTAATGTACAACTCCGATCCGTATGTGTATTTCTTTGTTTGTGTTTGTTTATTTTCCCCAATATGTTTACAAACATCAGACGTCTCCTCGAATCTTTTTCCTTTTTCTTCCACCAAAGCACCAAAATTAAAAATCTTTCCTAATTCTTTTTTTCATATACTTATGTCCTACATTATTAACTTTCTTCATTGCTTGCGCTGGATTGTACAAATTTTTTTAGGTTTTTACTTGGAATTTTCTTTAGAGTTTGTACATGTGCCTGTTACAACAAACTATGTTTAAGTAGTAAATCCTTTAGTCGATGAAACAAGTTAATTTTTCTACTATTACAAGTTTTGCAGCCTTTTCACATCATATACTATTCCTTTGTTCAAGTTTCATAACTTTGTCGTGATAAATAGTGTGAAGAAAGAAATATCAACTGTTGAGTTTATAGCATTTTTTGTACGTAGGTTTGACCTTTTTTTTTGTCATGTACAATTTAGGGGTACAAACATAAGATTTAAGGTGTAAGAGTGAGGAATTGGGGGCATTTTCTCTAAGAAAAGACCAAATGGATATTTCTAACTCACATAGAAACTCTAACCTGTATAATTAGAACTGATTTATAGATGCCAAATATAATTTATAGCTTTTCCTTACGAATTACACATAATTGGTTTGAGCATGATTGAATTGATTGGTTTGAACATGAATGGTTTCAGAAACTTGGTTCATATAGGATTTGAAGCTTAGAACCTTTTTTCTTAAATAAGGCAAAACTCTTCAAGGGCTAGTTTGGTATTGTTGTGCTTTGAAAAAAAAACTGTTTCTGCTGTGCTTTGAAAATAAGCAGTTGTGAAATAAAGCAACAAAGTGTTTAGTAAACTTTTTTGTAAAAATGCTTTTTTAAAAAAAAAAAAAAACAGTATTATAATATTTGGTAAACTTTTATGTAAAACAGATGTGAAAAAAGCAAATTTTTTAAAGCTGGATTTTGCAGCTTCTTGTTTTTAGCTTTTTTTCACCCAAAACTATGAAAAAAAGCTGAAACTAAATGTTTACCAAACACAAAAACAGTTCCTAACTTTTTTTATAACAACTTTTTTCAGAATTATTTCAGCATCAAACTAGGCATTATTTTCATTGTTTTTATCTGTAGTTCAAACCACACCTATATTTTGTCCTCTCATTTGCACTAAGACTCATTTACGCTAAAACTCTCATTTATTTACATTAACAACTTCCATTTTCCCAATCTATAACGTAACAGACCAAAGAAAACTTACATAGAAATGCAGAACGTAAAAACCCATCTCATCTATGTAAGTATTACTTCACCCTTGGACTATTCTGGTCCTCTTTGTAAATAAGGTTGAAAATGAATTTTCACATCCATGTAAATACTAAATAGTACCCCATCCATGGACACCTATTTTGTTCCTCTTTGCGTGTGTGTATATATAATTATTTTACATGTTTTATATTGCTTTAAAACCCACAACAACATGCGGACATACTTGCTAGTCCAAACTAAAAACCAAAAGAAACAATCACCAGTTTAAAATTTGAAAATATAACCTTGTTCACGAGTTAAACCAAAAACGGTTGAAAATATAACCTTGAAAATAAACCAAAAACGGCATCTCTAACTTTCTTTGCCTGATACTCCTCTGCAATCTTCGTAGGACACACGAGCTCAGCAGCTGGTTCCCAATAGCAGTATCACATGTGAAGATCGAAAGTATCTTTGTCAATTCTATGCGCAAGTGTTAAAGTTCTAGACTTTAAGAGCAAAAGAATCGCCCCATGAACGGACATCTTCTCCATATTCGTGGAAAAAAAATTAAATAGACCTTTTCCCAGAGATACTTCTTGGAAATAGAATGTAAATTTTTATGAAGATTTACCATAATATTTAGAAGAAGAACCCATACATAATAATTGATACACCATATCACTCATCTCACATACAGAGACTCGGAAATACACACAAGCAGAACCTAACAACACACCAAAACAGAGCTCATAAGTAGCCGATCGAGGTTATGCGAATTTAGTTTAGCCGGAGATGTCAATGGCCTTGACCTCAGGCCTCTTCTCCTCCTCTTTCGGCACAGTCACAGTCAGCACCCCATTCTCCATCGCCGCCTTCACCTGATCAAGTTTTGCGTTCTCCGGCAGCCTGAACCTCCTCATAAACTTGCCACTGCTCCTCTCCACCCTGTGCCACTTGTCGTTCTTCTCCTCCTGCTCCCGGCTCTTCTCGCCGCTGATCTGCAGGACCCTCCCGTCCTCCACCTCCACTTTCACCTCCTCCTTTTTTATCCCCGGGAGGTCCGCCTTGAAGATGTGGGCCTCCGGGGTCTCCTTCCAGTCGATGCGGGTGTTGGCGATGGCGGTGGTTTCACGGGCGGAGGAGGGGATGTTGGCCAGAGCGCCGAAGCCCTCGAATGGGTCCCAGGTGTCCAGAGAGAAGGGGTCAAAGACGTTGCTTCGTCGTCCGCCAAAGAGACTGAGAGCCATGAGATGGTGGGTTTGAGTTTTGTTTTTGCTGGGCGTGAATTCAAAGGATTTGACCGACAGATTTTTGTTTAGATTGCTTTGGATGATTCTATCTCATGGGGTGGGGTTGCAGAGTAAGTTGTATATATATAGGATGACACAGAAGGTTTCTCTGAGAACTACAGAAAGTTCTGCAGCTATCCAGAAGGGATAAAGCAATAAAAACAGAGAGTTCCATCAGCTTCCACCGACTTCTCGAAAGTGCCTTTTTTTGGGTTAGTTCCTTTTCGGCCCAAAACATGGTCGGCACTTACAAACCTTGTTTATTTTTTTTTTCTTTCAAATTGGTACTTATAAAATTATGTAAATTATGTATCTGTTTAAATTGGATATAGATTTTTTTTTTTTTTAATAAAAACATATTTAAGGGAAAAAAAACTAAATTATGTTGCGAAACTAATTTTACAAGTAGGTAAGAGAGGACTGAGGGTTTGATGTAGGGGTGGGCACGGGTGAGCTCAAATTTGGAGGAATCTGATCCTACCCGTTATAAATTGTAATGGGATGGGCTGGGTCAGGTTGAGAGATTTTGAGTTTTGGAACCAAACCTAACCTTGTTCGTTACAGATCCACGAGTCCAACTCTATTTTTCTTGTTTTTCAAAATACATTTTTACAAAACTGCGCTACAGTGCACAATTGCACTGTAGCAGCACATACGTTTTCAAAAATTACAAGAGTTGCTTTAAGCTTTTGCACAGACAAATTATAGGAGCTATTCCAAATCCAAAAAAAAAAAAAAAAAAACGTAATCATTAAAACCGAAATAACATCCACATTAACATCTACAATGACATCAAAATATATAAGAAAGCAACTCAAAATATATAAGAAAGCAAGACAAAATATAAGCTATTACAACTAAGCAACACAAAACAAAAACCAAAACTTAGGAATTGAGAAGAATCAGAACTTAAAGGAATCTACTTGAAGAACTTTGAGCAAGAGTGCAAGACAACTGGGCAAGGGCCGCAATTGCATAATTCAGTCATGATGAGTATGGTCACATGGCAATATTACATATATTTGCTATGTCAGCAAATCAATTGGATTTGGTTGTAAGGATAGTTGGATATAGTTGTAAGATTTGGTTAATTGGATAAGATTTGATAAGATTTAGTGAGGTATGTTGAGGGGTAGCTTAGTCATTAAGAAAGTAGTGATAGTCCTTTATATTGGATTCTCTTGTAATAACTCTTCAATTAATAACAATACAAGAGTCGTGAAGTCTTTTTCTTCTCTGAGTTTTCTGAGATTTTTTCCTTGGTTCTTCGACCTTCTTTCATTTTCTAAGATTCTTGATCAATGTCAAACTCTGTATTTCTAGTTAATAAGTCAAACTGATTAAAGCTATATGCTCGAGATGACATTTATACTTTTTTAATCTTCAATAGAAACATACATACTTAAAGAAAACAAATTCAATCAAAATGCACTTGATGGCCCTCTAAGAATCTGTTCTTATTTTTAAGAGAAAGAGGGAATAAAAAATCTCATTCAATGTTTTAATGATCTAGGTTTCTAGAATCGGGATAACATTCTCAATCAAATTTCCACACATATTCTAATATCAGTTATCTCTTCCAGCACCCCGACATGGCCCATCGTGGTGGTCTCTAGTGCACAGACTCACTAAGGCGGTAATGTCGGGGTGCTGGAAGAGATAACTGATGTTGAGAGAGAATCGAGTTCGAGGACAGTCCAATGACATTGTGAGTCTATGACAGAGTCACGCTTGACTGCTCGAGGAGGAGGCCTAGGTACTAACGGTTCAAATTGGATGGTAGCTTACTCTTCAATCTCTCCGTCCATTGCAATTACAAATGGGTCGGTTTGGGACCCCGTTTTTCTATACATTTGGACCTTGCTTGCCCCTAAAATTTCAAAGCCCCGCCCCGTCTCTCTTTTGAAAAAAAATTGGAACCGGCACGTACCCAACCCGAACCTTGAATACCCACCCCAACCCGTGGTTTCTATACCCATTTGCCCACTTGATGTCCCCAATATGATGTTTTCTTTGTGTCTCTTTGATTATTTGTCAACATGTGTCCAACCACTTAATCTCAAATTTAACCCTATTTGATTGATCTCCACAATATTGTAATATCTCTAACAGTAAAGACATAATATGATTAGGAACGTGCATTGTGCGGATCAGATAAATAACCATTGTCAGCATAACCAAAAAGAGAACATCATTATGAGGATCGGGAGTTGGATCCGCTCAAAGGTGTGTAATAATAAGTCCATATCCATTGTTCCTTTAAGGTAATGCAAGATGCTTTCAATGCATCTCCAGTGTCTACGTGTCATATCCCCGCTCGGGGCAGATCACTTCCCGGCCCCGCTCCACCACCGTAGCACGATATTGTCCGCTTTGGGCTTACCATTCCCTCACGGTTTTGTTTTTGGGAACTCACGAGCAACTTCCCAGTGGGTCACCCATCATGGGATTGCTCTAGCCCCCTTCTCGCTTAACTTCGGAGTTCCTACGGAACCCGAAGCCAGTGAGCTCCCAAAAGGCCTCGTGCTAGGTAGAGATGAGAATATACATATAAGGATCACTCCCCTGGGCGATGTGGGATGTCACACTACGTGTAGTAGGCTCATTGTTGTATCTTGTTTAAAGATTCATAGTAAAAGATATGTCAGGTCTAGTGCACCGAGCCAAGTAAAATATAGTGTTGATTGCACTTAGGTAAAGAACTTCAAGCTCCAAGACCTCTTTATCCTCATCTTTAGGAGGAATTAATCTCGTTTGCATCCAAAGTTAGAATGATCATGGGAGTACTCAAAGGCTTCATCTTATCCTCATTAAAGCGACGCAAGGGTGTAGTTCGATTTTGTTGGGTTGTAAACTACTTTAGTACACGTGTGCAAAAGAGTGGCAAGAGAAGTAAGCATAAATAATCCAATTTACAGAACTTTGCTTTCGTTGAATTATATAAAATTAAACTAGGTGATCGTGATTAATTGTGATGCTTGTCTTCATGAAAAATCAACTATAGACATATACATAAACTTATATTAAGTTCAAAAACTCCAACTTTTAGATTTCATATGCGGAAAAATTTAAATTTGTTGATGCTGCCAAGTGTTAGTCCTCTACTATGAATCTCTGATTGGTGAAGCAGAAAAATGACAATCTGCTACGACCTTCTCCTCTAGTTGTGTGTAACGACAAGGGTATTTAAGTGCGGTGTTTTATTTTTCAATTTCTCAAATTAGAAAATCAAATTCCCTTCTCACTAATTTCTTTATTTCACAATTCGTAAAATCTACACTAGATCTTAAAGACGCCTTAGACTTATATATAAAAAAAGAGAAAATTAGGTTCTCATCCCTCTTTCTTCTATTGCATTGATTAAAATCTTATTTATTTTTAATTTTTTTTATCAAGGTCCCTAACTTTTAATGAACATCATTATTTCAATTATAAATTATTTATATATCAACATAATTAAATTTTATTTTTAAAATATATTCAATTAGTGTTAAAACATTACATTTGGTGCATTTATATTTATGGTTAAACTTTGTATCATATATTTCTAGTTTTAGTTTGTACCATTTTTAATTGGCAACCCTTTTTTAATTTGTACCTTTTTTTTAAATTTTAATTTGTACCCATATATTAATTTCATTTTATGCCCATATTTTTTAAAATTTTTATTTATACTCATAATTTATTTATAATGTATCCATTCTTTTTTATAAATGTACCACTTTGTTATATGTAAAATGTAATTTTTTTTATTTTATTTTATTGTATATGTACCATTTTATTATGTAAAATGTACCATTTTTTTTTTATGTAAAATGTACCCATTTTTAAATGTAAAATCTATTTATTTTTTTGTTAGAATGTGTACATATTTATAATAAAGTGTACCCTTATTCAAATTTTTTGAACATAATGACTTTCGTTTGACATTTATTATTTCAAAGGTAAATTGTTACCTATTTTTATCTATTTATTTAATCAAAATTTTTGAGTATTTTTTTTTATTGTAATCGTTTTTAATTTATATGCCATATAATATGGGATTTTAAATCCCATAACATGTTAAGTAATTAATATCAAACATATGAGAATACATATTAATGGTAATAATGAGGTGTACAAAGTCAAAGAATTTTAATCAAAAATTGTATACTATTATGCATTTAGTTAAAGAATGTTAGTGGCTAAAGACCAGATCTAAAGTCTCCCATAAAAAAATTTCAAGCTATTATAATTACAGTTTTAATCCTACACTACACATGTATGCCGCAAGCCTTAAGCTTGATAACCCGGGCGATGAGCCCGCAGTTTGATAATTTGCGACAGGAGCTTGGCAAATGCAGTGTTTCTTGCAGATAACAAGCAAACATGCGACTATCTTGTCGATACAAGAAACAAAATCATAAAATATCTATATCGTCTTGACTGTGGTTGGATTGTCCACAAATCGGCAACATCTTTGCAGGAAAGGTCTAGAATCCAATTTCACCAAAGTACAAGTTTAGCATGGTGTGCGAAAGCACAAGATCATTATTCGAAATAAAGGGATGCCCGTGTGAAGAACAAGTATACATCGAATCATACCTTGGCCCTGAATGTTCCAAATGGTCATATGAAAGAGTAGAGACTCAGAACCACAGGGTAAGGCCGACCACACATGCATCGTAACCTATTAACCAGACAACTAATTTTTTCTTAAAATATATCTAAAAATAAATTAATTAAACCAATCGCATGAACAAAAAAAAATTAGAACTTTAATATTGAATCAATCACATGTTCAAGAAAAACATCAATTGATTGAAGACTCAAAACTAAAAACCAAGGGAAACAATCACCAATTCAAAATTTGAAATTATAACCTTGTTCACAAATCAAACCAAAATTTCGACCACCCAAGGACTCTTATTCGTAGTAAGAAAATTAAGTAGATCTCCATATTCGTAGTAAAAAAATTAAATAGATCTTCTCTAAAAGACACTTCTTAAAAAATAAAATGCACTCAACTTTTATAAAGATTTATTATAATATTTAGAACAAGAAGCCATACGTGAAAATTGACCCAGCATATCACTCATCTCACATACAGATACTCGGAAATACACAGAAGCAGAAATTAACACAACAAGAGCTTAGCCGGAGATGTCAATGGCCTTGACAGCAGGCTTCTTCTCCTCCTCTTTCGGCACAGTCACAGTCAGGACTCCATTCTCCATCGATGCCTTCACCTGATCAATCTTCGCGTTCTCCGGCAGCCTGAACCTCCTCATAAACTTGCCACTGCTCCTCTCCACCCTGTGCCACTTGTCGTTCTTCTCCTCCTGCTCCCGGCTCCTCTCGCCGCTGATCTGCAGGACCCTCCCGTCCTCCACCTCCACTTTCACCTCCTCCTTTTTTATCCCCGGGAGGTCCGCCTTGAAGATGTGGGCCTCCGGGGTCTCCTTCCAGTCGATGCGGGTGTTGGCAATGGCGGTGGTTTCACGAGCAGAGGTGGGGATGTTGGCCAGAGTGCCGAAGCCCTCCAATGGATCCCAGATGTCCAGGGAGAAGGGGTCGAAGAAGTTGCTTTGTCGGCCGTTGCCAAAGAGACTGAGAGCCATTGGATGATGGGTTTGAGTGGGATTTTTGCTGGGCGTGACTCCGAAAAATTTGAATGAGAGATTTTTGCTTAGATTGCTTTCGACGATCTTATCTGACAAAGCTGGGTGTGATAGTGATTGTATTTATAGGTTGCCAAAGAAGGTTCAGGTGTTTTCATGGTTCGTTGAGAATTACAGACAGGTGTACGGTGCAGAAAAAAAGAAAAAAAGTAAAAAAAAAAAAGAGAAAACAGAGAGTTCCATGAGCTTCCATCAACTTCTTGAAACTTCAGTTTTTTGGAAAAACAAAATAATAGCAATTTCAAGAACGACACCTGTCTGTAATTCTGCACCGTACACTAAATTGGGTTAGTTCCTTTCCAGCCCAACTAATTAATTGGCAGTCAAAAAAAGCCCATTTGGTTTTGCATTCGACTTGTTGGATTGGAGGTTTCCGATGCTGTTCAAGATTTCTCCAAGTCAGATTATATTTCACCTATAAAAATTAAAATTTAATTAAAATCTAACGATTGAAGCATCCAGGGTATCTCATATTTCATAATACTACACATTTTTTTGACGTCATTGTTTGTTTGTCTGGCTTTGAAAGTGTTGTTATTTTAGTCATTGTATGAATTGCTAAAAACATGATTTATGCATAGGTGATGGTGATTTATTTTATGGTAGTGTTATACATATACTTCTATTTACTTTTCACATCTTTTGTTAACTTTTGTTTATTGACCATTTTCAATCCGTTTGATCCAACGATAAAAAATAAAAAATGGTGTGAAAGGTAAAAATGAATGTGTCGAGCACGATCTTTATTTACTATATGAATGAATGTGTCGAGCACGATCTTTATTTACCATATGACCGTTCACCATAAGAGTTGCTTGGCTAGTTCTGGGTTTAGATGGTACTATAAATTGTGCCCACGCGTTGCTGCGGAATTGAACATTGTATGAAAAATTATGCAACTGTATTCTCTTTGTAAAACAAATATAACATAAAGTTTTAAATAATTAGATAATGGAAATTGGGTACAAAAATATTAAAGTGGCAAAGTAAATGTAAGTGGTGAGAAATGCTATACTAATTTTGCCCCCCATCTTTATTGAACATAGGCTTGAACAAAGAAGCAATCATTTCTACTTTTTGGTGATTGAACATAAACTCCAACATAAAATACATGACATGATAAAGCATCAAACTTTGCAAGCGACATCATATGAAAATTGCTAGTCCAGACGCAACAAACTAATACATGACATGATAAAGCAACAAACTTTATAGGTGACATCGTATGAAAATTCCTAGTCCAGACGCAATAGTGTAATATAATGGAATATAAAAGGATTTAAAAAACTTCAATTTCCATATCAACTAAGTTTCTGAAACAAAAATTAAAATCAAAGCAGTTACAATTCATCTAGCAGGATAATCATCAATTAAGTTGCAGTTCAACAAAAATTAGACGTGCAACCTGTAAGTGAAGAAAAAGAACATTCTTACTACTATAATGCCACTTTTCTTGTCGAGCTCATACTTAACCTTGCTGCGTTTGCCAATTTCGACAAACTGATATAGAAATAACAATAAATTGTACCCGGTCAACGTTCAAGAAAATGGGAGTGTGTTTGAGAAAGAGTCCAACCTTAATAGTGCGCATGAAATTCAGCAACTTCCTATAGTACCTCTGTAATCGTATCATCCATGAAACTACATAAATGAAACCAACAAATGTGGAAATCTAAAGGGCATCATAAACATCACAAATTAAACACAACTTATGATTAATCTTCAAGATGTAAAATTTAAAATTATTACTCACGTCAACATTCGACCAACAGATAGGTACAATGATCCGGACACTAATGAATTAAAGCTTGCAGCAACAACTTCAAAACCCATTGGCATCACGCGAGCGGATAAAATATATCAGTTAATTCCCAAGCTAGTAAGATAATGAATTTCGTGAACAGAAAAAAAAAAAAAGATGCAACTCCAATTTAACATGTCAAAGTCATTGCAACCGTAGGTCTGGAAATTATAAAAATCCATCCAGTCAATAGACAGAATACAATAGTTGTGAGTAGGTGAATATGCAACCAAGAATCTAAGATATACTCGACAAATTTGTGATTCCATTGTAGCCTAAATGATAACAAATAATTTGCCCATTATAGACACAGTACAATTTATATACAAACTCATCATGAATGAAACAAATTTAAACACCAAAACATAAATTTATTCCTCCAGAGTAGAGGGGGAAATAATTTTTTACTTGAAAAGTTGGAGTAGCACTACTACATAAATTACAAATGCAAATTGAGGGAATACCTATCAAATAAAGTTGACTGCATTCTGAGCAATGCTAAAGAAGATTCTTAATCTTTTCAAGTGCTACATGCAGCGAACATAAAGTTTGGATACCAGACTTACTCCTAGTTGTTTCCAAAGAAGGAAAAATTGACATGATTTTGCAATAAATTGCAGAGAGTACCTTACACAGCTCTCCATGCAACTGCATAAGAAAACAAAGACAATCAACCAACGATGTAGGATGATAAAACTATAAGACAAAATAAAAGGCTGATATTCAGATGACCCATGGTGATACTAATCCAAAAAAATATATATATGGATGACAACTTCAAAATTGAGTTTCAGAGAGGGTGAGAGGTGAAGTCACCTTGTAACCAGTGACCAAATCCTTTTTTTTTTTTTTTTTTTTTTTTTTTCTCATTACCCACGTTGCAATTCAACTTGAGAAATCCCGAAACCAAACACCCAAACAAAATTCAATCAAATATCAACACGAAATATTAATTGAAAGCTAAAAAGATTGAAACTTGCTTAATGTGATGTATGGGCATCTGCTTGTGAGATTGTTGTGACATGCTGATCTCAGCTCCTTTAAAGTAACATTGTTGTCTGCCAAGTAGGTAAAATCTCTAAGATATCTTATAATCCATGAGATAAATTATTGCGTCAAAGTTATACGCTAAAAGAAAATTCATACTTCTATATGAACCCAAAAAACGATTTTTGTATATACCTTGGGGGGCTCATTCTCCAGATGAGTTTCTCTACTCATCAACCATGTCATGTGAAAATCTCATGCTAACTTCTGCATAAAGCCACCAAATAAATGAAAAATAAAATTAGACAAAAAAGAGAGAATATGAAATAACTAATTAGAGAGAGCAAAACCATAGTAACCAATTGGGAAAGATGCTTTTAAATTCAAGAAAAAACATTTAAGAGAACGTGAAAAAAAAAACCATCAATTTTCAATTATTTTTCAGTGTTACAGTGGGATTACACAGAAAATATAACTAAAATCCCCAACTTTCTCAAAAAACTACAACTACTTTTACAAATTTCCATCACCCAACATTGAAAAATGAAAATTAAGAAGCACCACGAAAGCAGGCAAACAACAGAATAAAAGAACGAAACATGTGAGAACTGAAACGTTAAAAACAGCACATACCCATTCAAAAACAAAAAATCCCAGAAAATCTGTATATTAGCACTCCCTGCAATACCCCAAAATCAGAAAATTATAAAAATTGAGTTTGATAACATTGTACCTTAAGAAACCTCTAAATTTCTAGTCAAAGGAAATTAATACCACCTCCGCATAAAAAATAATCAGAAGATAAAAACTCAAATTCATAAAGCATTTGTTCAAAGTATTTATTAGAGAAACTTACATATGGATGAAGGTGTCTATCTCTTGTATCATGTAGAGCAACATTGCCTGGACTTCGCGAATAAATTTAATGATAAATTTGAATCTATAGTACAATAAAGAACAAAGAAAAAGTCACTTATTATAAATCACCTGCTTTGCTTCATCATCGTCTGCACAATCTTCTGCCAATTCATACCTAAATATCCATAAGATCTAACAAATAAATCACCTGAAAAAACATATGAAATCCAAACTCCAGCAGCTTTGAAGAAACCTAAAATAAAAAATATTCTTATAGATACAAAGAAACTAAACAAAATATATACCTTTCTCTTTTTTGGGATTTGAAATTTTCGAGAGCCCCATCCTCGTTTTCTTTAGTCCAGACAACATATTGAGAAGCCTCTTTACAGAATACACACATGCATGAGTCAGAGTCGCTTGATTTGTCATTCGGCCATGAAAATGAAGAAATGTGTTAGACAAATAGGAAAGTAGTTAGACTTAAATTGTAATTGTACTCTTAATTTGTAGGAGCAATCCTTGCTACTCAAGGACTGTATTTGTATATATATACACTTTCACGTATCAATGAAAAAACAATTCAGCCATATATTATTTTTCTACATGGTATACAGAGCAAGTTCAAAAGGGAATTTTATTCTCTTCGCCATTTTTTCTCTGAACATAGGGTTGTTTTTCAAACTTCTTGCGTTTACATGCCCTAGCAAAATGGCATTGTTGAACGCAAACACAGGCACATCCTTGAAACTGCTCGAGCCATTCGGTTTCAATCACACCTTCCCCTCAAGTTTTGGGGTGAGTGTATCCTCACTGTCGCCTATACCATCAATCGTCTTCCTACCTGCCTTCTCAATAACAAAACACATTTTGCAGTCCTCCACAATAAACCTCCGCTCTATGATCACTTCCGTGTTTTCGGTTGTTTAGCCTATGCCACATCCGTCCTTCCGCCCGCTAAGTTCTCTCCTAGAGCTCATCGTTGTATCTTCATTGGCTACCCTGCTAGTCAAAAGGCTTATAAACTCTATGACCTTGCCACACATCGCACCTTCACTAGTCAGGGTGTCATCTTCCATGAGGATTTTTTTTCCTTTTGCTTCCCTTCCCACTACACCTATCACGGACCCCCCATCCCAAAACATCTCCCTACCCATTCCTCCCTTAATGGACGTCCATTTTCCTACCTCCCCGGGCCCTACACCACCGCCCCCTCCCTCATTACCTCTTATTTCCCTGCCTCCTAACTCAATTCCTAGCACCGCACCGCATGATCCCCTTCCCCCACCCATGGCCCCACCAACTTCTCCATCCATGTCCCACTTACCACCCGTGCCCTTTCCTGCACCTTCTCCATCTCTCCGTGTGTCTTCCCGCTCCCATGCACCCTCACCTTATTTAAAAGACTACGTTTGCTCGCAGGTGATTCTGCCCCCACACCCGTCCTTGTCTTCGCCACCAAGTTTTGTCAAAGGTACGCGGCATCCCCTCTGGAATTATGTTTCTTACCATCGTTTATCTCCACATCATCTTTCATATATCTACTCTGTGAGTCGGGGTGTCGAACCATCTTCTTTTGTAGAGGCTGCCAGTGATCCTAACTAGCGTCGTGCTATAAACGAGGAACTAGATGCCCTACATGCCAACCGCACTTGGACCATAACTATCCTGCCCTCCGGCAAAGTTCCCATTGATTGTAAATGGGTATACAAACTTAAGCATAATTCTGATGGTTTTATTGAGCGTTACAAAGCCCGTTTGGTTGCCAAAGGTTTCACACAGGCCGAAGGTATCGATTATCATGACACCTTCTCTCATACTGCTAAAATGATCACTGTGCGCTGTCTTCTTGCCCTTACTGCTAGTCAATCTTGGTCTCTTCATCAACTTGACGTCAATAATGCTTTCTTGCATGGTGATTTAGATGAGGAAATCTATATGTCTCCTCTTCCTGGTCTTCGGCGACAAGGGGGAGAATCTTGTGTGTCGCCTCCATAAATCTCTTTATGGTCTCAAGCAGGCTTCTCGTCAATGGTTTGACAAGTTCACTAGTGCCATTCTTTCTGCTGGATTTCAACAATCCAAAGCTGACTATTCATTGTTTACGAAAAAGTCAGGTATTTCTTTTACAGCCTTGCTCATTTATGTGGATGATATTGTGATAACAGGCAATGATGTATGTGCAATTGATTCTCTGAAACTTTTTCTCCACAATCACTTTCGGATTAAGGATCTTGGTAATTTAAAGTACTTTCTAGGTATCGAGGTTTCTCGGTCCAAACGTGGCATTTATATTTCTCAGCGTAAATATGCATTAGAGATTCTCAAAGATTATGGCTTCTTGGGAGCACGACCCATTGCCTTTCCTATGGACGATACAAAACTATATGACAAAGGGGAACTTCTCAAGGATCCTGAAAAGTTTCGGCGTCTAGTAGGACGGTTAATTTATCTCACAATAACTCGGCAAGATTTCACCTACCTGTATATGTTCTGAGTCGGTTTATGCATGAGCCACGTACTTCTCATATGGATGTTGCATTTTGAGTTGTTCGTTATTTGAAGTCTACTCCGGGTCAAGGCTTACTATTCTGTTCTGACAATCAAATCAAGTTGACTGCTTTTTGTGATTCTAACTGGGCGGGTTGTCCTATTACTCGTCGGTCGACTACTGGCTACTGTGTTTTCTTAGGAAATTCTTTCATTTCATGGAGGACAAAGCGACAGAAAACTATGTCACTTTCTTCTGCTGAAGCGGAATATAGAGCTATGTCGGGTGCTTGTTGTGAGATAATTTGGTTGCGCTTCCTATTGAAGGATTTGAACATTCTCTTAACCTGTCCATCTAATCTATTTTGTGACAATCAAGCAGCATTGCATATTGCTGCCAACCCTGTTTTTCATGAGTGTACTCGCCACATTGAGATGGATTGTCATTTTATACGTGATAAGATTGTTGATGGCACTATTACTACCAAGTATGTTGGTACGGCACATCAGTTGGCAAACCTATTTACGAAGCCTCTTGGTAAGGAGAAATTTTCAACCATGTTACGCAAGTTGGGCGTTCTTGACATTCATTCTCCAACTTGAGGGGGAGTGTTAGACAAATAGGAAAGTAGTTAGACTTAAATTGTAATTGTACTCCTAACTTGTACGAGGAATCCTTGCTACTCAAGGAATGTATTTGTATATATATACACTTTCACGTATCAATGAAAAAACAATTCAGCCATATATTATTTTTCTACAAAATGGAGAGGTGGTCGTGCTTTACCTTTATCGGTGATGGGATTTGCGGAGTCCTCCGTGGAGGCAGAGTCATCGATGATGAGTGCAGAGCCAATCTGAGCAAGGCATCGCGAGATGGTGATGGATCCTGATCCAGTTTGGGGGTTGAACTTTTGGAGATCGATTTAATTTCTTGTTTCAAAAGTGTTAATCGAAAAAGATGCAACAGAGACGTTTGCGGGAAGTCTGTTCAGGAAGGAGAGGGCTAGAGTTTTTTTAGAAAGAATCAGACGTCTGAGAGCTTGGCTTTGAAATGGAACGAAGAGTCCAGAAGGACCAGAATTTCTAGAACCACATCAACGCGTCGAGATCCCGTAGAAGCAGGTTTCTTTTCCACGATGACCAACACGTGTATACAAAGGGTAAAATTGTAAATTTACTGTACAAAATGAAAAAAAAATAGCTGTGAATAGGCAGCAGCTCAAGGGCAGTTGCGCCAAAACACTGCTCATGAACAGTGCTTTCCACCGGGTATTAGTATATAGATAATGTACATTACCCTTGCACATGTTTATTAATATGCATAAATCATAAATCTTTCACTCGAAATTCTGTATTCTATTCTTATTTTTTAAATAGTGCTTTGCTTCAAGAAAAAGGTAATTCGAAATTGTAAGGGGGCACGGGAAAAAACACAGAATAATTCTGAAAAATATGATAATGATGATGGAGCACCATTTTCTTTAAACATAATGAGACAAACGAATCATTATAATTCATGATCTAATTACATAATACATCAAAGGAGTTTCAGTAAACAACAACTGGACTTTAGTTTCAGAAAACAAAAGATTTATAATGATAAAATGTGCTTAACCAAGCCATCCAAAGACTGGTATGAAGAGCCACCTTCTTTGAGGCAAAGATTTGCCTTTTCCATCAACTTTAAGGCTCTCTTTTTTATCTCTTCCCCTTCTTTTTCAACCATCAGTCTTCTAATTGTTCTTTCAACCTCACCTCTCCCAATCCCGTGCTCCAACTGCAGCCCTACCTTCCAAACATCGCTCACATATCTTGCATTCACCATTTGTTCACTAAAACATGGCGTGCAAATCATAGGGACCCCTTCACAAATGCTCTCCAGTATAGAATTCCAACCACAGTGAGTCCAAAAGACTCCAACTGCTGGATGGGCCAACACTTCTTTTTGTGGAGACCATTTCACAATATGGGCCCTCTCGTTCAACGCTTCTAAAAACCCATTAGGCAATACTTTAAGCCAATCCAACTCTTCAACTAATCCAGGTCGAATCCCCCACAAAAAAGGTTGGCCACTGTTGGCCAAGCCCCAAGCAATCTCCAAAAATTTAGCTTGGTCTATCTTGGCAACGCTCCCAAAGCTAACATAAGCGACAGATTTTGGCGCTTGAGTGTTTAGCCATGAAATGCATCTTTGGTCTTGTGCTAATAAACTAGTTGAAGAAGAAGAGGTTGTAGGGCCACACTTGTGAAATGGACCTAGTGAGAAAATTGGAATATTAGGGTAATATTCTTGGTGAATTGTGGCAAGTGCATGTCCCTCAAGATCTTCAAAAGTATTGCAGATGAAACCATGAGAAGCCTTGGGCTCATTTGCGACGTTGGTTATCAGTTGATAGAAATCTTCAGGATCGCAATTGGGCATCATTGGTAGGTCTTTAAATTTGATAGGTGAAAGCTCCATCACCGGCTCTTCTAGTCGAGAATCTAATTATTTTCAAATAGAAAGCCAAATATAAGGTTTCTAGTAAGAATACATATTTTGCCTTTTATTGCATATTCTAAAATGCCAATTTACAAGGAGGGAGAGTGAGGAATATAAATGCTAACCTAGCTAACTAACCTAACTCAAATATGCATAAGTTGCCTAAGTGCCAACTTGGGATCGCTTCTAGAAGTACTAAAAGTTTTTCTGGGTAACCAAAAGCATTTTTGGATCTATAGAGTGATTTCTGAAGAAGAAGAAGAAGAAGAATCACTTTGAAGTTTTTTTCCAAGAAACATTTGAGTTTTTAATAATTTTTTTGACAGGTTTATAATAAACGCACATATTGCATAATCGCTTAGGAGTAAAAACAAAATGCTACCTACAAAAAGAATCCGAAACGAGTGATTAGTCTTGGTATGGTGTTATCAGTCTATTATTCATATTGCGTGGATTAATTAGTAAAAATGATGAGACAAAAATATATTTGACAATAGGGTTTTGTTGGCTTGAGATTGTACCTTGTATTGGTAGGTAACCCTTTTCTTTGAGAAGTGGAAATGCAGCATAAACAGCGAAGGAAGCGGCACCCCCGGTGCTTAACATGATCCTCGGCAGCTTAAAGCTCTCCGCAACCGATCCAGTGAAGTCAAAGAGAGGGTCGGAGATCAAGCATGCAATGGGGTCCTTATCAGATAACAATCCGGCCAAGCATTCTCTGAAAGGCTCAACACATTTAGCATTTAGAATAGAAAGAAGAACGGTGAAATCCTTGAGGGAGACCTCGGTTTCTGTCAGGTCAACAGGGATTGAATGGTAGGTGAAGTATGGGTTTCGGGTTGAAGGATTGAGGGAGTTGAAGTTGGTGTGGATGATGGCTATGGAGAAGCCTTTGGAATGCAGAATGTTGGCCAGTTCCAGCATAGGGTTTATGTGCCCTTGGAAGGGCAGTGGGAAGAGTATCAGTTTCCTGCCTTCGCTTTGCTCCATTTTTGAATCGACAATGTTTATGTTTGTTTAGCTTGTGAGTCGTGACTTGTGAGCTTAAATTTATTGCTGAATGCTGAGCTTGGAAAATATTATATGGCTTTTTTTTTTAAGCATTATCTTATTTGATGGCTCTGTTGAAGTTTATTTTATTTCCTAAATCTCACATGTCCACCACGAGCTCCTTTTGTCGTTACTTCTTTTTGTGGTCGCTTACAAGTGATCTTTTACCAGAAAGTCTCACATCCTCTACTTCTTCAACCCCAACTTCATCTACTTCACCACCACCACCTACACGTTTTTCTACCCGTACCAAAGTGGCACACTCTTACTTAAAGGACTAAATTCGCTCGCCTGATTTTACCACCACACCAATCTTTGTCTTCCGCAACCAATCCTTTCAGAGGTACTCGTTATCCACTTTGTAATTTTATTTCTTCTAAATGGTATTCACCGAGACATCTTTTTTTCGTTAACTCTATTAGTCGTAGTTTGGAGCCTTCTTCGTTTGCATAACCGACCATTGCAGGGTGGGGCAATCCAACAACTATATTTTCGATTGGAGGGGAAGTGACGAAGTGTTTACACACGATAAATCATGCTGATAATCCACAGATAAAAGGATTCATTACTTAATTGAAATTATTGACTAAGCCCAATGGTTTACTATTCATGCACATACCCTTGCTCATGTTTATGCGTATATCTTTAACTCGAAGTTCTGTATTCAAATCTTATTTCTTTAATAGTGCTTTACATAAAGAAAAAGATAATTGGATAATTGTGATGGAGCAAGAGACAAAACCAGAATCATTCTGAAGAATAAAATAAAGATAATGGACCATATTTTTTTTTTAAAACACGACGACACATAAGCATCATGATAATTCATGATATAATACATCATACATGAACGGAGTTTAAAAAACAACTGGATTTTAGTTTCAAAAACAATTTATAATGATAAAATATGATTAACAAAGCCATTCAAAGATTGGACGAAGAGCCACCTTCTTTGAGGCAAAGATTTGCCTGTTCCGTCAACTTTAAGGCTCTCTCTTTGATCTCTTCCCCTTCTTTCTCAACCGTCAATCTTCTAATTGTTCTTTCAACCTCACCTCTCTCAATCCCATGCACCAATAGCCCTACCTTGCAAACATTACTTATAAATCTTGTATCCACCATTTGACCACTTAAAAATGGCGTACAAATCATAGGGACCTCTTCACAAATGCTTTCTAATGTAGAATTTCAACCTCAATGAGTTCAAAAAACTCCTACTGCTTGGTGGGCTAACACTTCTTTTTGTGGAGCCCATTTACAACATAGTCCATCTCATTCAACTTTTCTAGAAATTCATTCGACAACACTTCTGCCTCTTGAACTAATCTGGGTCAAGTGACCCACAAAAAAGGTTGGCCACTGTTGGCCAAGCCCCAAGGAATCTCCAAAAAGTGAGCTTGATCTATCTTGGCATTGCTCACTCCCAAAGCTACATAAGCAACATATTTTGGCGCTTGAGTGTTTAGCCATGAAATGCAACTTTGGTCTTGTGCTAATAAACTATTTGAAGAAGAAGAGATTGTTGGGCCCCACTTGTGAAAATTAGAATAATGTGGTAATATGCTTGGCGAATTGGCAAGTTTTCACGTCATTCAAGATCTTCATGTAGAAACCCAGAACTACTCGAGCACGAAAGAAGTTAGAGAGAAGAGGAGAAAATGTAGAGAGAGAAATGATTGTAATGAACTGATTCTTATTACTTGATAATGTTACTACACTTAAGAGCATATATAGCCATTGGCTTTTGTACAACAATACCCTTATCTAACTAGAGGTGTAATATCTACACACCCCATTTTACTTCTCACACACCTTTTTAATTTTCGACCGTCAGATTGGATGAATTGAATAAGATCAACGGACATAATTTTAGAATCCTGATGTAGTCAACTAGGATTTTAAAGGATCTTTATTGAGTCTATACAAATCTATATGTATTCAAAAATTTATAAATTTTGATGGATTTCATTGAACGAGTGATTTTGTAGGATTTGAGAAGAGATGGTAAGCTTAAAAAGACTATAAAGAATCCTACCTCCACCCCTAGGATTTCTTTCTAACCCCCTTTGATTTCTTTCTCTCTTCCCATTTCATTGAAAGTATTTTATCTTACCTGCTAATTATCCACTCTTCAACCGAGATTCTTTCTCTCTTTTTCAATGAAATGGACAAAGGCAAATCAAATAATTTCAATGGAATAGGGTAATAATTTCCACTCTGCAACCGAGCTTCCTTTCTTTCTCCACTCTGCAACCGAGATTCTTTCTCTCTTTTTGGAGGTGTATAACATGCAAAGGCAAATCAAGCTAATTATCCACTGCATCCCTCCCTGACGAGGTAATCTACACATTCATTGCTAATACTGAGATTGTTTTCCTATTTACATAGGAGTGAACCTATTTGCAGTGTTGGGAGAACTGGTCATTTTAAATTAAGGGTTAGGAGAATTGGGCATCCGAAAAACATGGAGGATTGGGAGAACTGGGCATTTTACATTGGATGGCAAGGCATTTTAAATGACAAGAAATCTCTCAAAATCCATTCAAATCTTTAATCAAAATCCATAAGAATCCTTGAAAATCCATTTGAAAGTTGTAAGGATTCTACAATCCTTTGAAATCTATCACTCAAAAAAGTCTTTTAAAATCCTGTGAAATCCAAATTGACTACATCCTCCTAAATTTTGATGGACTGGATAATTAAGCGGGTGCTTATTTAGTACAAG